CTGAAAAAGTCATATATTGACTTATTTTCACATTTTTGTTTGACTTTTTGCACCCTTAATAAACATTTTCAAACTGCACCCGAATACATGACTTTAAATGATTCGTTTATTAGAAAATATATTACAATAGAAAACTTATTTTAAATTGTAATAATATTTCACAATATTGCTGTTTTTACTGTATTTTTAAATAAATGCAGCCTTGGTGAGCATATGACACTTCTTTTAAAAACATTTTTTAAAATCTTACCAACACTACACTAACTGACACTAAAAATCACACCAGTTATTTAAAAATTTTAAATTATTAAATTAAAATGAAGTGAAGTTATATATTTTAAATTGATCAGTACTGTCAATTTGCTTAACTACTTTGCTTATAGTGACACTGAAAAGAGCAACTTGACTTAGTAGCTTAGCACTTTTCATAGCTTCCCCATCACTGGCTCTTATATAACATTACAAGACAACTTGGATGTGCTGTTGACAGCTATTAAAGCGTTAAGCTAGTAAAGGAAATCTAAATGGCTGGTGTATGGGGGTGCGCTGACTGGACCCGCTCTGAGATCAAGCTGTTGTTTGTGCTAGCTGTGGCTGATAAGCATGTGACGGGAGGAAAATTAGCCAGACATATGACCCTCATTTTGCAGATGACTGAGCCTCCACTGCACAGAATCTGCAGCTGTATATAGATTTTTAAAAAGAGTGAAAAAAGTAGAAGGTTATGCATTTTTTGCCTGACAATGCAGACCTACTAACACTGAACCCTGCGGCAGACTCTCACTGAACTCAGGAACGGTTTCTTTTTGTGAAGCTTTTTTTTCTGTTTGTGACGCTACTGCTTCTCCTATTCAAATTTCACATTGACACTGTGTTTACTTTGTAAGAAATGTGACTAAGAGTCCACTAATATGGGTAGCTATATCAGTATTAGGGCTGCACAATTAATCAAAATTAAAACGAAATTGCGATATGACTTAGTATGATTATCAAATCGTAATCATAATGTAAAATTAAATTATTATTAATATAATTATATTATATTATTAAATAATGTATTTTTTATAGTTACATATTACAATAGTAATTTTTTTTGTTTGTTTTTTTAGTAATTTTTATTTAATAATAAAGGGCCAAAAATGTCATCAAATTGGACAAAAACGCTCCTGCACAATTAAATTAAATTTACTACGGCTGTCGCTATTAAAGTAAAAATGAAATTAAAAGTGTCTATTGCATTAAATTTAGATGGGATCATGTTGCGTTATATTTCTTTTAATGCGTTTTTTTTACAGCGTTATGCATATATAATCACACGATATATAATCACACGATTCTGTTGAGTTTAAGAATGCAACAGCCAATCAGAGGCGCTCAGATTAGTCATCGCTGAAACGCCGGACTCTCGCGAATTCTCTCATCATAAACAACAAAGTGAAGGGGCTGTTGCATAAAAGGTTTAGACCATCTAATTTTTTTCTTTAAGACTGGTCATATATATATCAAGAGTTCAGATGAAAAAGCCTCTAAGTGCCATCTGAAATTTTCTTATAAAATTAGCATTTTTAACAGGTTCCTATATTTAGGTTAAGTCATTTTACTTTAATGGCAATGTATAGGTCCTTTTCTATGCATTAAAGTGAAAGAACTATATTTCTGTCATGACAACTCTTAGAGAGATTGGCATGGTAATGTACATGACAATGTTAATGTATTTGGTCTTGGCGGAATAGATCTGCTACGCTGCTGCTACTGCTGCTGCGGCAGAACAATTACCGAGACTTGCTACTGCCAATACATCCACAAATATATATTTAAATGTTTAAATAATGTTCTTTGATAATGTAAATGTTCTTTGCTCATATTCTGAATATATTTAATTTGCTGTACTATGAATAATGTAATTATCATCTCAAATTGGTCAGAAATTTTACAATGAATTGGCATGACACAACACAACTAGTTTGCTTGGAGTGCACGTAGCTTCAGCGAATGTAATGGGTATTTGTTAGTTTTGTGAGTATAATTGGTGAGGGATTTCATTAAAGGCTATAATTTCAAGATTTTAAAATCAAGAAGACCATTAAATATTTGTGTGCATATTGATCTGTTTACTTGTTTGGTTAATGCTGGAGTGTGTTATGCATAGGACTGCAGTGTTTGGTACTGTGTGTCAGTCTGTCTGGATGTAGGTGAATTCGGCTGAGTGAGCATCTCTGATCCATGCAGACAAGTCAAAGAGACCTGACAGACACACGCTCTTGCGTCTGAAATCAGCCTTCACATTCTTCTTTTCCCTGACGGCATCTCACCTCAGCTTTCAAATGCTTTGTATAGGGGCAGACATGCCACAGCTGTATCCTTCAGCAGACGGGGCCGTCAGCAGGGGTCCATCTTACGGTCTGGAAGACCTTTTGGGCCGGGCCCTTTTCATATGAACAAGGAAATGTGTGTGTGTGGACAAAAAATGAGGGAATAAGTTGAACGAGGATGTTCCTGATCGGAAAACAGACTTCATTTGTCATTTGGGAGAACTTCACGCTGGCGTTTGTGTCTCCTGCTTGAGCCACAGAGGATGAGGTCAACGTTAACATGGTTCTTCAGCCATTTTCTGCTCTTCTTGGAATCAGTTGCACAAACCTTACGAGGAATTTTTGCAATTTCCCTCCAAAGCGGAATATTTTCTTCTCTTGCTCAATCAAACTCAGCATGAATCAAATCTCAGACTCGTTTCTCAAACTTTCCTTCTTGCTTTGTGGGAAAGCACCATTTTAACCTGCATCTTGGCAGTCATTATTATTTTTGAGACCTTTAACAGATTTCATTTCTACTGTTCTGTAGGTCTCAGAGGTCATATTTCTTCTATCTATCTATCTATCTATCCATCTATCCATCTATCCATCCATCCATCCATCCATTTTTTATTATATATAATCACACACATATATCATAATTAAATATCATAATTAAAAATTTGATGCTCAGTCATAATTATAATGTGATATTAATGTGATTTCAATGTTTATTTTTTAATGACAAATAACAATAAGCTTCCATCATGATTCCTAATTAACGCTTCAAAGTCAGGGCTCTGGGAAAATTTCCCACTGGTAATTACAACATTGTGGTGGTGTGTTGTGGGGGTATTATCATCTCATCATATATACGATACACCAACGTGAAGCGAGCAACTTTGTAATTTTACACTCAGTCCTCAGATTTCTCCGAAATAGCTAAAAGAGTCCAGATGCCAGAGCAGGAAGCAAATCGTTCCTCTGTTTGCCACCATTGTTCTATCTACCAGCCTGATATATTCTCTCTCTTTCAGGATGTCAGAATCAGTCTCACAGCAGGAGCGGCTCCAGGCTATTGCAGTAAGTCAGATTCTCACACCACATGTTCCCCTGACGGTCCTAATAAACCCACCTACTGAACCCATTTCACAAATCTGAAACTGGGTCAGAGATTTTTACATCTTATATATATTTAAATGTTTAAATAATGTTCTTTGATAATGTAAATGTTCTTTGCTCATATTCTGAATATATTTAATTTGCTGTACTATGAATAATGTAATTATCATCTCAAATTGGTCAGAAATTTTACAATGAATTGGCATGACACAACACAACTAGTTTGCTTGGAGTGCACGTAGCTTCAGCGAATGTAATGGGTATTTGTTAGTTTTGTGAGTATAATTGGTGAGGGATTTCATTAAAGGCTATAATTTCAAGATTTTAAAATCAAGAAGACCATTAAATATTTGTGTGCATATTGATCTGTTTACTTGTTTGGTTAATGCTGGAGTGTGTTATGCATAGGACTGCAGTGTTTGGTACTGTGTGTCAGTCTGTCTGGATGTAGGTGAATTCGGCTGAGTGAGCATCTCTGATCCATGCAGACAAGTCAAAGAGACCTGACAGACACACGCTCTTGCGTCTGAAATCAGCCTTCACATTCTTCTTTTCCCTGACGGCATCTCACCTCAGCTTTCAAATGCTTTGTATAGGGGCAGACATGCCACAGCTGTATCCTTCAGCAGACGGGGCCGTCAGCAGGGGTCCATCTTACGGTCTGGAAGACCTTTTGGGCCGGGCCCTTTTCATATGAACAAGGAAATGTGTGTGTGTGGACAAAAAATGAGGGAATAAGTTGAACGAGGATGTTCCTGATCGGAAAACAGACTTCATTTGTCATTTGGGAGAACTTCACGCTGGCGTTTGTGTCTCCTGCTTGAGCCACAGAGGATGAGGTCAACGTTAACATGGTTCTTCAGCCATTTTCTGCTCTTCTTGGAATCAGTTGCACAAACCTTACGAGGAATTTTTGCAATTTCCCTCCAAAGCGGAATATTTTCTTCTCTTGCTCAATCAAACTCAGCATGAATCAAATCTCAGACTCGTTTCTCAAACTTTCCTTCTTGCTTTGTGGGAAAGCACCATTTTAACCTGCATCTTGGCAGTCATTATTATTTTTGAGACCTTTAACAGATTTCATTTCTACTGTTCTGTAGGTCTCAGAGGTCATATTTCTTCTATCTATCTATCTATCTATCCATCTATCCATCTATCCATCCATCCATCCATCCATTTATCTTTTATTATAATCACACACATATATCATAATTAAATATCATAATTAAAAATTTGATGCTCAGTCATAATTATAATGTGATATTAATGTGATTTCAATGTTTATTTTTTAATGACAAATAACAATAAGCTTCCATCATGATTCCTAATTAACGCTTCAAAGTCAGGGCTCTGGGAAAATTTCCCACTGGTAATTACAACATTGTGGTGGTGTGTTGTGGGGGTATTATCATCTCATCATATATACGATACACCAACGTGAAGCGAGCAACTTTGTAATTTTACACTCAGTCCTCAGATTTCTCCGAAATAGCTAAAAGAGTCCAGATGCCAGAGCAGGAAGCAAATCGTTCCTCTGTTTGCCACCATTGTTCTATCTACCAGCCTGATATATTCTCTCTCTTTCAGGATGTCAGAATCAGTCTCACAGCAGGAGCGGCTCCAGGCTATTGCAGTAAGTCAGATTCTCACACCACATGTTCCCCTGACGGTCCTAATAAACCCACCTACTGAACCCATTTCACAAATCTGAAACTGGGTCAGAGATTTTTACATCTTGAAAATGGCTGATTTGTCTGCCCATGTCTAAACTACTCTTAAGGAATGGTCCAGTACCATTATATTTCAATTAAGCATTAATTTACGTGCAAATGTGGTTTAAGCACTAATATATATATATATATATATACATATATATACATACATTACTATAATAATGTTTGAAAATTACAATTGGCATTTAACTACAATGTGAAAAATGTAGAAAATCGCATATTCCAACTGCTTATATAACAGAAAATAACACCATTATCTTTGTATTCACACTTTGCATGTATTTGAAACTATAATTAGATTTATTTTTTGTCTATTTAATGGGAAAATCATGTTTTGGAATCCAGTTGATTTAAAATGTGTTATTATAATATAATCATATTTATTTATTTATGAAATAAAAAAATACATTTAAAATAAATGATCGTTTGTTTAATATATATATACATATATATATATTTATTTATTTATTTATTTCTGGGGAAATGTTGTCATCTTCTGTCCACAAAATCACTGTATGTGGTAGGTACACTAACAAAACATTACATGCGATCTTCATTTAATTAAATTATAGCCCTTTTCAGTTTAATAAGCCATTTTGATTCTATTTTAATTAATTGTGCAGCCTAATCTAAAAATATATATATAAAAAAGAAAAAAAAAGCCCATTCTAACTGACAGCTATAGTAAACGCCACTGACAAATGGAAAATATTGTCCTGTTTTGTGGCCTTTTCTTACCAGGATAAAAAAGAGGGCTGTAACACACCCAGTTCAGTCTGTTAATCTATTAATCTTTTTAGCCCTCACACACACACACACACAATCACACATGCCCTCCCTGCTGGCTGGGATCTTGGCCTCACTGACTGATGAACACATTGTTCTCAGCTCATTTTCTCTCTCATATGAAGATTGTTAACACTCGTTATCATACATGCTTTGGTCTAAAATAATGGAGTAGGTTTCAACAAAATATGTAACCCCTCAGAAAATCTTTTTAGCCAAATTTCAACACTAAAAGAAACACTGTTTTCACAGAACAAATGTTGAAGAACAGCGCAATCACTGAGTGGTACAGAAAAGAAGTATGGTTGTTTGTGTTTGCATGCGTTTAGTGCACTAGATCTTGCTAGTGCTTTGGATGTGTGTTAACCTTGATGTTTTGGATGGGTGTTAATCTTAATAATATCTTTATTCACAGGAAAAGAGGAAAAGACAGATAGAAATTGAGAATAAGAAAAGACAACTAGAGGATGACCGACGGCAGCTTCAGCACCTCAAGGTAAACTGGTAAACTGACATCTGAGAAGAAGCCCAATAAAGAAGCCCAATAAAGAAGTCCAATAAAGCGCATCTATCCATCATAAAAAGTGCTCCACACAGCTCCGGGGGATGGTGGGGGGGGTGGTTAATAAAGGCCTCCTGTAGCGAATCAATGCGTTTTTGTAAGAAAAATATCCATATTTAAAACTTCATAAAACGTAATCTCTAGCTTCCGCTAACTGTTGTACGCGCGTTCATTCAGGCAAATGACGTAGCTGTAGCGTAAGGTCCGGTGAGAATATGCTAGTCTCGCGAGAACCAACGTCTGTTTACAGGAGCAAAGGAAGCAAAGTTTCCTTACTTTAGCAAAGGAAAACCAGTCTCCTCTTGGCTTATATTGAAATCCTCCGACATTTTTCTTTACAAATCAAAACAGTTAGCGGAAGCTAGAGATTACATTTTATAAAGTTTTAGCCGTGTGGAGCACTTTTTATGATGGATGGATGCGCTTTATTGGACTTCTTTTGGACTATTGAAAAAAACACCCATTCACTGCCATTATAAAGCTTGGAAGAGCCAGGACATTTTTTAATATCACTCCGATTGGATTTGTCTGAAAGAAGAAAGTCATATACACCTAGGATGGCTTGAGGGTGAGTAAATAATGGGGTAATTTTCATTTTTGGGTGAACTATCCCTTTATCTGTTCTTATAATGGCTTTGGAAGCTAAAGCTCATGATTATGGTAAGGGGAGTTACATTTCCGACACATGCTTGAGATGTTCGGCCAATCACAACACACTGGATCAGCTGGCCAATCGGAGCACACTGCGCTTTTTGAAGGAGGGGCTTTGTAGAAATCGACGCATTTTAGAAAGACTGTGCATAGAGGATTTGCAATAATGAACAGTACGTGAAAAATAATGAATTTTTTGAACTGTAGCGTCTGGACCAATCAGAGTAGTTAATAAAGTCTTACTTGTATCACACTTGACGTTGGTCATTGTTTGCTCATAACTGCAGATTTATGCTACAGGCTCTGTGTAGAGTTGTACAGTAAGAAAGTTATTTCCCTTAACCAGGAAATTAACGTTCTTAGAATTGACAGACAGTTGACCCTGAGAGGTCAAGTAAATATCTACAGCGGATCTAAATATTTATAATTAATTATAACTAGTTATGATTAATTATTCATATTTCCCCATGAGCTCATTCGCTACAGAACATTAAAGCATGCTAGTGTATTCTATTACACCCAATACACAGAATAATGAGCTTTGAAAATAGCATCATGACCCCTTTAAACATTTGAAATAATGAGATCCTAAGTCATAATTATGAGATAAAAAGTCAAAATTATGACCAATTAAAACAGTTAAGAGATAAAAAGTAATAATTATGACATTAAACATGAAATGATGAGACACTAAGTCATAATTATGACATTCTAAGTCATAGTTAAGAGATAAAAAGTCATAATTATGAGATACTAAGTCATAAGTATGACATAAAAGTTATGACATAACTCAAACTTATGAGATAAAAAGTCAAAATTGGAAACTTCAGAATTTTGACTTCTGTCAGAATTTCAACTTGTAATCTAATTGTGGCTTTTTATCTCATAATTATGAGTTAGAGTCATAATTATGCCTGTCATCAAACTTTTTATCTCACAATTATGACTATTATGTCATCATTTCGACTTTTTATGTCATAATTATGAGTTAGTCTTGCAAGATTTTGACTTTTTATCTCATTATTTTAAATGTTTATGTCATAATTATAATTTAACAAAGTAGTTTTTGGTGGAAATGTTCTTCCATAATATTTCACTATTTCACTAGTCCCTATTATGTATGAATTATGCCAGGGGTCGTCAAGGCCTCTGAATATCAGTGTTGACCAGACCACACTGATTTGGTGCAGTCTGGGCCAAGAACACCCTGTCAGACACAGGAAGGAGAATCTGCCATGGGGGGTGATGAGACATCCTGTTTGTGTGAAGAGGGAAATGCTTCATTCTGCTAAATATATGGTGTATTGTCTCTGTGGCCTTCAGGTCAGGTGTACATGATTGCGAACTGTTGGAGGTCTTTTTTCCCGTTTATGCTGTAGTTTAGAATAGACATTTTAATGTCTCTGGATATGTTTGGAATAACAGGCTACCTTCCTACTCATACTACATCTATAGTGTGCAGTATGTACAGTATACTGTGTGTAGTATGCAAATTTTTTGTATGCATATACCTGGTTGCCCTACGGCATTTACCACATTTTGTATTCCCTGGAAATATAGCTTAGATATTGGATTGCTACATTAAATTCCTCAGCAATGAGGAGGTAAAATCACTGTTTTTGAAGTAACCAAACTCACTGCTTCATTGTTTGTAAAGAGAGATGCACAGACGCAGGTAATTCACACGTGCAAATTATGTCCCTCTCTCTCTCTCTCTCTCTCTCTCTCTCTTTTTTAATTCAAATTAATGTTATAATTCATTCATTCAAATAAATGTGATCTTATTCACAGATTTCATCTCTGTGTCTGATTTGAAGCGGGCAGAATTCTAGAGCTAACAAGCCGCAACTGACGTAATTTTTACCCTTCCGGTCAAATATTGCGCTGCAAACATTAACTTGTCAATGCTGTTAAATGACCATGGTATAAGCAGGATAATGCATGACTAGCTGTACATTAAACAATTTTAATGCACTCCGCGGAGGCAACCACCCTCCGCTTTGTGTCGGGTGGTTCTTTGCCTCCACGTCGAGCATTAAATTCGTTTAATGCACAGCTAGCAATGCGTTATCCCTTACATATACTATTTATATACTATATAAACAGTATATAAATAATACGAAAATAACTCCAAAAGTCAATTTTCATGGTCAAATAACCTGAAAGTAATATCAATCATGGCTTTTGACATTTACTTCTTAATTCATTGTTTAATTTTTTTTAACAACAACAACACAGGTTCAAATCTGGACTACATTATGACCCAATGCCAAACTGTATCTTCTGTTAATCTATCTGAGACAAACGGAAAAACTTTAATGTAAAATTGATGCTTTTTCAATGATTTCACCTGCAATAATAATGTAATGTCTTTGCATTGTCTTCATTTGGAGGCTGCAGAGACGAATATATGATTAATTGTGATTTATTTCGAATTTTTTTGTATTTTGTAATTCATTTGCTAAACATTTTTAATCATTATTGTCAGTCCTGCTTTGTGCAAGTTGGCTGTGTTTTTTTGTGTGTGTGTGTGTTTTTGAGGCTTCACAACTTTCGATCAGCTGTGGCTGAGAGACTTTGCTGTGCTGGCCAGAGATAAGATCCAAAAACGCTCCTCATTAGCAGTTTCTATGGAGCTCCCATTCAGAGTCAGCAAAATGCAGAGGGAGAGAAAGAGAGAGAGATGAATGGCCAGTGAATAGTGGGCCGCAGGTCGCTAAAGTATGGAGGGGCCTCTGAGAGTCCTGAAAACACATGCTCTCTGATATATGAGCAGGCTTTTGTCAATCTAAGATAAGGACCATAGTGTTCTGCCCGAATATAGAACAATTCCAACCACTTGAGTTCCGAAGCTGTGCATTTTTTGGCCTCTGGCCAAGTCGTGCTGAAGCCTATGTGTCTGTATGAAGTATAGAAGGTATCGTACTCATTCTTTGTCAGTATTTTGGCTCCAAAGCTTCCCTTGTTTTGATTGGCTCATCAGTCAGTCCAGACTGATTAAAGGATGTCTGACGTCCCGGGATGATCAGTACAGGATGTTAATGATGCGGATTGGATTGGTGTGGTTTGATTAGCGGGATGGGTTAACACAGGTCACATGACACATAGAGAGTGTTGAACTCTTACAGGCCGACAAAAGTGTGTGTCTGTGTGTGTGTGTGTGTGTGTGTGTGTGTGTGTGGTCAGTATACGCTCTCCTACAGTAGGTCTCTAGGGAGTGGGAGGTGGCAGCTCAGGCAAAAATGAAAACAGAAAAACACAAAAAAAACAAAGAAACAAAAGATGTGAGGTGCAGAATAAAAGAGAGATGATATGTCATTTATAATATGTTTGAATAACTTTTAGTGATTTGATTGTTTTATATATAGACCAGTTACATTTACTATATCATACATAATTTGATCATAAACATTTGTTTACCGAAGTAATATTATGTAGCTGGCTAACACAGATTTTATTGTAAAATTTTCTTTTATTTATTTATGATATTAGGTTATATTAAGTATAAGCTATTACCTATTAATAAGTATAATAGGTTATTATACTTTTTTTAGATTTGGTTTTTTTAGTACTTCAAGCTAAACTAAACGAATGTGTGTGTGTGTGTGTGTCTGTTTGTATGCATATAATATACACAGAAATTTAATAATTAAAATAAATATTTAAATTAATTAATTTTGGTTAACCTTTGCTTATTGTAAAAAAAAATAATTTATGAACGAGCATTTTATAAATGGAAAATATAAATAAGACAATTAAACAATATTTAAAGTAAAAATATCTATCTATATATATTTTTCTGACATGTATAAAACTTTTTAATGGAAATAAAATTCTTTAAAATAAAAAGCGCCAGTAAAAATATTACCAGTGCAAGAACAAATCTGAACTACTGGCCTGACGGGCTCATCACAAAAATCCTCATTGTTAAGTCCTGAAACTAGCCTAGAGAAAACAGAACTGGCATTCATGAACTGGTATGCATGTATCAAAATATATAATGTTGTATTAGCACATAAAGAATGTTATTTGACTTGACAGAAAAGAAGAAGATGGCCATCTTCAGTGGTTTGATCAGTAACAGCCGGGAGAGGCAGGAATGTCCGAGGCCTGCGGTGCATTGTGCAGTAAATGCCAAGAGCCTTTAGGGGCTGGACAGACACCAAATCACACAACTCACTTCCATCCTTTTCTATGGTTGATGTTTTTTTTTTGGACTGCCTGTCAAATATCCATATATTGCAATGAAATAATCAACATGAAGTACTGCAGTGTACTAAAATCAGCAAAAAGCTCAAGTAAAGTGTTCTTGGGTTTGTTTTGTATGAGTTACTGTAAAAGGTTTGTGCAGCACCATCATGTCCCGCCCAGAATATATTCATCCATCCTGAAGTTTTCGAGTGACTGTACTCAGCTGTGGACTTTTAATGGCTGCTGGTAATGGGCTGGTACAGGGTAGCCTATGCATATGCACACATCTTATGCGATTTGTGAATGGCAAACAAATTGCCATGTAGTTTAATGCTACCAATAAGCAAACATCAAGCTCTGAGAGACAGAGGAAGAGGGTAAGATCAGTTTCAGAGAGTAAATCAGAGCAGTGCCTGGTTTGGTGCAAAGACAGCTATAGTGCCAGCTCAACACTTAGATTTTAGTGCCAATTATCTGAATAATTCAGACAAGCGCTGTGCACTATTTGGTTAGTAAAGATCTCTTCTCTCATAGGAGATCTCCACAATGGCAGGCGATAACAGAATTTAAACTCGTTTGGGACGAGCGTTACTAGCATCATTGTTCTGATGCACGAGTCACTTTTATCTTCAGATTTTATTTTTCTTTGCCATGGATATTTTCTATCATTTTCATCATTTTCTAAATCTAAGTCACTAAATCCTTCAGTTTTCCCAAAATGTGATTTTTCTTCTCTGAACCAATCAAGACTTGCATACAGGACATTGAGTGAGGCAATGGTTCTCCACTGTTACAGTCTAAAGCTGTTGCATTGCATTGCACATTGCATTATGGAATATATACACTACCGGCCAAAAGTTTGGAATAATTAACACTTTTTAATGTCTTTAAATGTTGTCTCTTATGCTCACCAAGGCTGCATTTATTTGATTAATAAATACAGTTAAAAAGTAGTATGTGAAATATTATTACAGTTTAAATTGAATATATTTTATTAATTTATTTTATTTTTAATATATTTTATTTATAATTATATTTTAAATGTAATTTATTCCTGTGATGCAAAGCTGAATTTTCAGTATCATTACTCCAGTCTTCAGTGTCACATGATCTTCAGAAATCATTCTATTAGGCTGATTTTCTGATCACGAAACATTTCTAATTATTAAAAAATAATTCTAAATATTCAACACGGATTTTGCTGCATTTCATTTTTGTGGAAACTATGATTTGAAACTACCATTCAAAAGTTTGGGGGTAAGTCATATTTTGTTTAAAAAAGAAATTAATATTTTTATGCAGCAAGGACACATTAAATTGATCAAAATTGACAGTAAAGGCATTTATAATGTTACATAATATATGATTTATATTGATTTCTGAAGGATCATGTGACACTGAAGACTGGAGTAATGATACTGAAAATTCAGCTTTGCATCACAGGAATTAATGGTGAGCATAAAGGCCCATTCACACCAAGAACGATAACTATAAAGATAACTATATTAGCGTCCACACCAGCGGACGATATCGTCTGTTTATTCCAAGCGCACGCTCGTCTGCCGCTTTAAATTCTCGAGCTCGTGATAGCAGGATTGATTCTGATTGGCTGTTAATGTTTTTATCGTTCATCAGCTGGAAAAAATCGTTCTGAAATGGCTTTGTCCATAGCAACTCTAAATAACTGACTGCTCAGAAACAAGTTATTTCGCATTTCTAAATTTAACCCAATTGTGAGTAAAATTGACATTTTTGGTGGAAACCTTACAAAATGAAAAAAAAAAATGACAGTGAAAAATGAATTTAATATAGCTTCCAAATCATTTGTCACATAAAGGGGTAGTTCCCGCAAAAAAAACAAATTATGTCATTTAAACCTACATGAGTTTCTTTGTTCTGCTTAACACAAAAGTAGATATTTTGAAAAATGTGGGCAAACAGTAAATGATGTCAGAATTTTCATTTTTGAGTGAACTATCCCTTTAACAAAAGGTTGAAGCAGAAGTCAAGTGCATTATGGGATACAGTATCCTCAGAGTATATTCTGCTGAATATTACACATTTTGGCAAATGCAGGAGGTCATTTCAGTATTCCTTGCTTACAGAAAATTTGCATTTTCTTGCAGTCAAAGGCACTGAGGGAAAGATGGCTGCTGGACGGTGCGCCCTCTGCAGGACCGGATGAAGACGAGACCACAAAACAGTTGCGGGAAGATGAGGCCAAAACCAGAGGTCTTGAGGAGACCATTCTGAGGTAAACCAATCACATCAGTGCGGTGTAGAGCTGCATTCACCTGTTTTATATAAAAGGAGACACTTTTATGAAAGGAGTATAAAATAGAAGTAGATATGTGTCTTCTGGCTCTGTTTTTCAGTCCAGCTGTGATTAGATAGCAAGTGCCTAATGTGGGATCCTTCATCCTGGACTGTGTAATATGGATCTAGCAGCAAAGATCTTTCTTATCTGTTTATTCCTAATGGTGAAAAACTGTCCTGGGTCTTTCTGCTGGGCCTGGCAGAGCTGTCAGTCTGGATCTCCATTCCCTGTTTAAATCTCTGCTCTGGCTCTGTTAGGGCTTCTGGAACAGGACTGGTATGCCACCCAATGAGTCATGCCGGTGAACAGCCAATGCCAGTAATGCCTGGTGTGGAAAACACACTCAGAAAGGGCTTGTGAAAAATATAAAAATATGTGAAAACATTATTACATTTTAATTGGTGCAGATCCTTTAATTAATTATATATATAT